AAAAAGGATGGAGGAAAATGCATCTCTAATTGACACAAGATTATGGCAGCTTCATCTTTTAATTCGTCTAATTTTTTGAAATCAAGAACTTTATTACATAAGGGGTTGAAGAACAAACACAATCTAATCATAGTTACTCTCACATTTTTTGGTAGGATGCCACGGATAGCCACTGGTAGAAGTTGTAGCATCAAGACATGACAATTATGAGATTTTAGACCAATTAACCTGAGATCTTTTATTGATACAAGTTTCTTTATGCTTAATAAGTAACCTTGGGAAACTTTGATATCATGCAAACACTCGTAAAAACTTTTCTTTTCCTTTTTACATAGAGTGTAACAAGCCGGAGGCAGATAATTTCTTTTCCCTTTTTCTATTGGAGCCAATTGTTTTCTTATACCCCATCACCTCCATATCGAGACGAGATTGCTTAATATTTATAGTCTTTCATGGAATGTTTAGAAGTGTACCAATCAAACTATCACACACATTTTTCTCCACATGCATCACATTAAGACAATTCCTTACGTCGAGACTTGACCAATATGGAAGATCAAAGAACACAAACCTCTTTTTCCATATATTTTTCTCAAGTGGCCCTTTTTATTTTTGTCTCTTTCCAAAGACAACATTAATGTGTTTTTGTCATTGATAAACTTCATCCCTAGTTAAAGTTTAGGAGTGATATCAAACTCCCGATCTCCATTAAAAGCCTTCAGCAATCTACGATAAGAATGATCGGATTTTAGAAATTTCTGATGCCCGAGGTAAATGGTATTTTTCCAAGCTCAAGTCGGTGATAACAAGTATTAAATTCACAAATAGGACACACTTTGTGTCCTTTGACACTATTGTCGCTACGCGAAAAATGATTAGTAATGATGTTATCCTCTACTCTCAAAGAAACAATGTTTTTAGTGGAGTGGTAGATTTTAGATAACTTGTGAAAGTCCTGATTATGCAGGGAAATGGTGTTGTCAACATTCTGTAAATGAGCATCTTTGACTCCATCAAAAGGTTGAGTGGCATCCACAAATTCCAGATCTTCTATGCTATCATCATTGTCCATTCCTTCTCCAATGGGGTGAAGATAGTGACTAGCTTCAACATGGGAGATTTCCACATCCTAAGAGCCAAGATTAGCAATCACTAAGTCATGTAAGTTCTCCCGAGGGTCTAGAAATAACTTATTGGAAATGCTAGTATCAGTGGTATCAACATTATCTTTTTCCTTAGAATGAAGAGATTGTTTTCCTTTAGAGTTGACATTAACAACATTTACAGCTTGTTGTTATCACCCTGTTTAGAAGGAGGGATAAGGAAAAAGGTTTTCTTTGTTGTTTTCTTATGTTTTTGAACTATCACTTCTTCTCTAATAGATTATTGTTTGTGTTTTTGAATTCTTATATCCTTCGAATTGGATGGGTGTTTCTTACAATAGGAACATGGCCAATGACCCTGCATTTGTCACAGAAATCTGGTATGTTTTCATATTCCAACTCAACAAAAAAAGCAAATCCTTTTCTTTCAACTGAAACTTTGTATCTCAGCTCATTTATCAAGTTAATATCAACAAGAACCCTAGCAAAATGACTAAAGTTTCTATTAAATATAGACTTATTTGTGGTCGAATCAGTACAAATAGGCGTGCCTACACTAATTGTAATAGAAAAACAAAATTTTAGGGCACCAATACTCATGCACTAGACCAAAGATACAAAGCCAAACCTGGGTCGAGATTTGATGCTGGGTGTTATGATTGAAGTCACTAGACCACACAAAGAGCTTAACAAGATCGGGATTCAGACTCCATGAACCAAATGAGCGAACCTTTTGCAGATCTGCAAAAGAAGAAAAGGAAAACTCATAAAATCATTTTCTTAATAAAGTGACACCCTATTTTTTGAGATCAGTCCACGTACTGATAAGCTTGTCACACCAGGCATCAACCTTCAAAGGAGGTAACCCTTTGGGATAAATGACTCTACCATGAAGGTTATGCTTACAAGAATCATCTTGGTACTCATTGATAGAATAAAATATTTTGTTGTAATTAGTCATAATTAGTTTCCTATAATTATGTTGTATCATAATTAGATAGTTGACCAAATGTTACACATTGATGTATATATATTCCATTCAGATAAATGAGAAAGGAAGCGTTCCATAATCTTACATGGTGTCAACCCTAATCGATCCCTCTCTCTAAAAAAAAAAACCTTCTTCTCCTTCGCAGCAACTCTTGCTGCAACAGAACTCCTTGTTCTCTGCGTACTGCCGCTTCCGAACACGAGAGCCACCTCTGTTCACCGTCGAACCCGACAGCTTCTTCTTCTGTTTTCAGTTCGTGTCGCCGCCACCGACGCACAACACAAATACCGTGCACAAGAACCTACATGTTTCTTCCTCTATTTTCGTGATTCCGATCTGTCCGGCGACCACATCATTACGTGACTTTTCCACATCACCATGTCTGATTCAGAATGCAGTAACGCCGATACTCGCAAATCCTCTGCTGATACCGGTAATTCCGACCAGCCCAAGACGCTCCGAGGTTCCAAAATGGAGTTTCATCCCGCTCTTGCCGTCTCCAATATTAGGAATCACATTCCTATTATTCTTGAGATGGAAAAAGATCAATATGTAACCTGGGCCGAGCTTTTCCGCATTCATGCTCGCTCACATCGAGTCCTGCATCACATTGTCCCATCTACCGGAAAAGAGCCACCAGCCGTTACCGACGCCGAACATGAACAGTGGTCCACTTTTGATGCCACCATTCTTCAATGGATTTATGCCACTATTTCTACTGATTTGCTGACCACTATTCTGGAATCCAACTCCACTGCAATGGAAGCATGAAACCGCTTAGAAGATATTTTTCAGGATAACCAAAATGCTCGAGCTGTCACTCTTGAGCAAGAGTTTTCTAACACTCGTATGGAGGATTTTCCCAATGTCTCTGCTTACTGTCAGCGTCTTAAGATGCTTTCTGATCAGTTGAGAAATGTCGGCTCCCCTGTCAACAATCATCGTCTGGTCCTTCAGCTGATCTCTGGTCTCCCAGAAGCTTACCGCAATGTTGCGACTTTGATTCGCCAGAGTAACCCTCTTCCGACATTTTATCAGGCTCGTTCTATGCTCACTTTAGAAGAAGCTGGTATGGCTAAAATGACAAGCACAGGATCTCATGCTGCCATGCACACCACTCAGCCGAGACCTACTGAAGACACCTTTCAGCGTGCCAACCGCCGCCCCAGCAACCGCTCTCGCTCCCGTGGAAACCAGGGCCGCGGCGGGGGACGTGGTAATCGTAGTGCACCTCAGACTAGAACTCTCAATGCTCCCTCACCTTGGTCCGCTCCTCCTTGGCAACAGCAACAACAGTACTCAGCCTGACTACCATGGAGTTGGACTCCACCACCATGGGCTATGCCACCGTGCCCGTATCCCACCTCTCAGTGGACACGCCCTGCCGGTCCTCCTAAGCAATAGGGAATTCTAGAACAACGTCCTCAGGTATATGCAACTTCCACCTCATCTCAGACACCGACGGACATTGAGACATCAATGCACACCATGTCACTAAACACCCCTGACAATCAGTGGTACATGGATACTGGCGCAACATCTCACACGGCCGCATCACAAGGTAATCTCTCGTCTTATTTTCCAGTAAGTAATTCAAATCAGAAAGTTATTGTTGGCAGTGGCCATGGAATTCCAATTCACGGCACCGGACACACACAAATAGCCACATCTCACCATCCCCTTAACCTTAACAATGTCCTGCATGCCCCAAAAATTATTAAAAATTTAATTTCTGTGAGACGACTCACCACTGATAACAATGTTTCTGTATCCTTTGACCCTTTTGGCTTTACTGTCTCTGATTTTCAGACGGGAATCACCCTTCTCAGATGTGATAGTCGTGGAGATCTATATCCTGTTACCAGTCCTCCCAGTTTTGCCGGTCTCACATCCAGTCTTTGGCATAGTCGTCTTGGTCATCCTGGCGTGTCTATTTTAAATTCCCTTCGCAAAAATAAATTCATATGTTGTGAACCTGTTAAGTCTTCCGTTTGTGACTCTTGTGTTTTAGGCAAACAAGTTAAATTGCCATTTTTTGACTCTCAAACTACGACCTTGATGTCGTTTGATATTTTACATAGTGATTTATGGACGTCTCCAATTTTAAGTTCTGCTGGTCATAAATATTATGTATTATTCTTAGATGATTTTACAGACTTTTTGTGGACTTTTCCTATTAGCAGAAAATCTCATGTCTTTGAAACGTTCAAGTCACTTACTCAACTCATTCATACACAATTTTTGCAAAAAGTCAAATCTTTTCAATGTGACAATGGAGGTGAATATAATAATGATCTATTTCAACAATATTGGAGATACAATCCCCCTTTACCACCGATTGAGGGAGTTGACTAACCCGAATGTTACAAATCGTCTCAAGAGCTTGAGCAAAAGTTTTCTTCTGATTGGGGGAGAGAGATTTGAGAGTGTTAGGACGAGAGGAGTCAAGACAACACCAAAAAATAAAGAAAACCATGTGATTCGGACGAGAAAGAAAAAAACGATGGAAAAAACTGAGGAGTTAGGTTGTAATGATAACAAATGGAAGATTTGCTACCGTGAAAAAATCGTCTATTTTACCACCCATCTTCGAAGAGTGAGATAAATAGACATATAATTATCTTTATGGTAAATAAGTTTAAAAAAATTGTCAAATTTAAAATATTTTAAAAAAATATAGTTGACATTAGGATTTCAAGCTCTTTTTCCTTAAATAAAGTTTGTTTAATTAATTAATAAAATAGAGAAGAGAAATTGAATCCATTAAAGAAGGGGTAAAAAGGTAATTAAAAAGAAACAAAAATAGATTGAGGTGGAACAAATCACATTGTGGCGTGCGGTTGTTGCTACTCCTGTTGTTCTTGTTCCTTCCATTCTATCCATTTGCCTTTACTCTGCAAATCGCAATGGCCAATACAATCACAACGACGAGTTTTCTAACACCGTTTCACTTCCATTCCCCTCGCTGTTCCATTCCCACACCCAATTCGGTAAACTTCAATTTCAAACCTTTCTCTTCTATATCTCTGATTTTTGTCTATGCTAATATATAATCAGGCTAAAGCTTTTACAGTTCCGAGGAGAAAAGCAATATCCTTAATCTTCTCAACATACATTCTCTCCGACATTGGTACATCATTAGCTCAACAAGAACAACAACAACCTCGTCGGTTCCGAGAATATGTCGACACTTTTGATGGCTATTCGTTCAACTATCCATCGAATTGGATTCAAGTTCGAGGTGCTGGTGCTGATATTTTCTTCAGGGATCCTTATGTTCTTGATGAGAATATTTCGGTCGAAGTTTCTTCGCCTTCGTCTTCGAAGTTCAAGACTGTGGAAGACTTGGGTCCACCGGAAGAAGCTGGGAAGAAAGTTCTTACTCAATATCTTACTGAGTTTATGTCAACTAGAATCGGTGTTAAACGCGAGTCTAGTATTCTTAACACTTCTTCTAGAGTTGCTGATGATGGTAAATTGTACTATCAAGTTGAGGTTGGTTAATATTTTTACATGAAAAATTATAAGATTTGTAGTTAATTGTGTTTAGTGTATGATTGATGAGGTTGTTTGTGTTGGTAGGCGAATATAAAGTCGTATGCTAGTAACAATGAGCTTGCTGTTATGCCACAAGACAGAGTGGTGCGTTTGGAATGGGACAGGAGGTACTTGTCTGTTCTAGGAGTTGAGAACAATCAACTGTATGAGTTGAGGTTACAGGTGCCAGAAAATGTGTTTTTGGAGGAAGAGAATCAGCTTCGTCAAGTCATGGAGTCGTTTCGAGCCAATAAGGTTCTTCGTGAGAACTAAGAAAATGTATGTGTATGATGTTGTCTGTGTTTTTGATGAGTTGGTTGAGATAGTTGTATTTCTCTTTATTCAATCAGTGTTGTTGATGATGTTGGTAACTGAAGTCAGCTTGTTTAACTCTATACAAATAGAAGAGAGTGTGGATTGAGCTGGTAATGAGAAAGATTCATTCATTTTATTCTTGACTTGTTTTGTTATAAGCATAACTTATAAGATTGAGATAGGATGGTAATGATAGCAGTTCAGTTTTTCATTAGATTGTCTATTTTCTCCTTTTAATCAAGTGCTTATTTGCACCAAATATCAACATTGTGTTCATTAATCCTTATTGTGAGGCGAGTCTATTAAGAAAGCTGTCGTTTAGAAATCTTTGAATGCAAATCAGACCAATTACTATTATAGTTTTTATTGTGATTATAGCAGAATCTGTATAACAGAACTGTTATTGTGATTATAGCAGAACTGTTTTTCTGATTATAGCAAAAAGATTTATAGCAGATAAATTTTAATTGTGATTATAGCATAAACAACACAAGACTTGTTGACAACAAAAACAAATGCAGGAATTGATTCATTTGCATTGATTTCAATGGCAAAACAAAAAGCTAACGGCAACAAAACAAAGACAGTAGTAACAAGAACAAAAGCTAATGGCAAAATTAAAACACCTCTTCCAAAAACAGATAATTCTTAAACATTATAGAAACTTAAAACATGCATAACATTATAATTTACACTGCTTAAAATTACATAATATTTTTTCTTATTACAGCGTCAAATTTAATCCTAAAATTGATTATAACACCATCAAACAATCTTCGAATTTGAAAAGGAGGAAAATGGTGGCCCAGAGGAGACACTGCGACACACCGTGATGGCGAGGCGGTGAATCACCGAGTCAGCAAAGAGGAGTTGAGGAAATGGAGAAGGGATTGGGTCAGCACATTGGGTCGGCATGACTAAGAGGAACGAGCTAAAATGTTTTCTATGGAAAAGAGAGAAGAGGAATCACATTTTTCCTTTTTAAGTTTCCCAGATTTTTTTCAAGGCTCTGCAAATTTTAAAACAATAAACTCCACAGTAACCAAACCATCTTCAATTTTAAAGCTTAAAAGAAATTCTCAAATCTTTCCCCATCGACAGTCTTCAAAGACACTTCAATGGAATACAAGCAACATCACCGGGAAGCCAACGAAGCAGCGATGCAGCAATTTGAAGGGACAACAACTGTGATTTGTTTTGGACGGAGTGAATATTGGTTTCCATGAGAAGAGGAATCCATATGATTCATTGTTTTTTGTTTTTGTTTTAAGCAAAAATGCTTATTTTCAGTTTTTAATCGCAGCTGTTTATATTTTAAACTGACACGCATCATTCATCTAAATAAAGAGAAATAGAAAACTCGATAGATATGGTACAGGAGGAGATCCATGTGGCTAGTAATAGATGCACACGGTGTTAAATGTCAAAATTTTAATTTGCATTCAAAGCCTAAAATCACTAGTCTTCACTAATGCCAATATTCAATGAATTCAAAATACAGAAGTGTCATGGCTCCAGAAAACCATGATAATTCAGGTAACATGGACATGGTTCAATCACTACTAAAGTAATTTGAAACCACAATAAAACATATCAACTTACATTGCAAATTGAACATGCCATGCACATGCAACCAAATTTCATGTCCAGAATCAAGTCAGATGACTTAATAGTCATGCAAAACTATGACCTGACTTCAAATTCACCTGCTCGGGTAAGAGCTCGAAAGCCTTTGTAGAAACGGTAGGGTACAGTCTTCAGATCCAGTTTGTCTATTTGCAGACCAGAGAGGGCGACACCCATAACCCTAAAATCCACTTGAAATGTAGGAAAAACATGAAGGCGTTCCATTCCAGTCTCGAGTACTAGTGTTCCAGACATTGAAGGGGATTTATCCTTTGGGATCCGACCAATGGACCAAGTGCACGTCTGATAGAACAAGATGTAAGAAAGCTTCAAATTACATTGTGAAAACAGAACAAAGAATTTCATCTGACTATTTAGACTTACTGGTTTCAATAATGAAAAAAAAAAGAGCAGTGATATTGTTACTTAATAGTACCTTGTTGGAAAGAATGTTTACTGTTCCATGAGTTGAAGTTAGATCAGCGGATAAGATGCAAGGAGGTAGCTGAAAATGAATGGTAACTGAGTCAACTGTCTTTCCAGGATCGTTTCTCATGCCAACCATTACACTAAGACGGCATGTCCCACCATCTGAAGTCAACTGTGGCTTTACATATATTGGGATGCTCTTCAATTTCCTAACTCTGAAAAAAAAAGGTACAATGCCAAAACATTTAAGAAATCTGAATTTGGGAATACCGTGAAACAGATTTAACTTTAACACTCATGAATATAATGCTTTTAAATTCTAATTCAGACACCAAATATGGGAGGACACAGTACCTGTAATTCATTAGCTTAAATTGTCCATCAGGAGGCACAAATGAAAGAATTTGATTGGATTCCCAAGGCCGAAATCTAACACAGGGATGGAACCTCACATCATCAAGGATTGACGGATTCACAAATGAAATAGTTAAATCAGGTAGACCTGTGATGTGTGAGTTTACTTGAACCGCGCCATTAATCTCACATTTCACCAGAACACCATCCCTGGATGTACGAATTCTTTTAGCGAGTATAACAAAGAAACGGTGCATAAGATACATACTACTAAGGAGGAATCAAGACAATCCTTCATAAGAGTTCAGCCATATAAAGTCCCACAAGTTCAAACATGAAAATTTAGTAAAATCCTGTTCAGCTTGGGAGGGAAAATAGAAAAAGAAAAGAAACCAAAAGATCAGAGTTTCTTCAACTCTTTTCGTTGATAAAAATAAAGTTGTGTTAATTAAAAAACACTAAAAAAATTCAATGCCGGTAATAGTTGTACCCCGTGAATGACTTAATCTGGCTACAGCTTTTCCTAAGAAGCTTTATTGGAAATTTAGTATGTATAAAACTTAAAAACATCACAGGATACATGCATATTTACTTAATCACCGCAGTATTTCAAGGAATATCTGTTTGCAAGTTATAGAGTGACATAAGGAACATCAGTCCAGTAAAATAAGATTTAGTGCCAGCCCAGACTATGGATGAAGGTAATATATAGGCCAGTAGGTTATAAAGCAACCTATTAGAGAAAAAGTTTTCAATCTTAACAAGTCACGATAACACGTCCTACTTGATAATACGTCCAAAAAAAGTTTTCAACCTTAACAATGTCAAGAAACGAAAGATAAGAAAAGAAATATTTGAGCGTATAGACCTGTTTATTGTTGCATCCATTTGTTCGACAAGATCTACATAAACTTCATTGTTGGCATACTTAGGGTCAGCTGTTCTCCAAGGAACACAAGATGCTGTACTACCAGGAAGGGTGTCACTCACATTGGAGCTGTTGCCAGTCACAACACTCAAAACTTTGCTAACAATATTTGGCGGAGCTATCATCTCTTGCAGGATATTAGGCTCTGTAGTTAGTGGGAATCCATTGTCTATCATTTCATCCAGCAGCTACAATAACAAAAAAAAAAAAAACTTATTAATTTTACATCTAAACAAAACAACAAATCAAAGGGGATTAGAAAAAGCCAGAGAACACTCTAGCAGCATATCCAGAGCAAACATTACAGGAGGAAAGAGTCAATAGTAGAAGAAAACAATGCATCGTCGATTGAAGGTGGGTTTCATGTCGAGTAAGGCATCAGTGTCATAATACCGACACATGTGGTTACATACAATCACATTTACAACAACAACCAAGCCTTATGGCAATAAGTGGGGTCGGCTACATGGATCCACTTTAGACATAATGCTCTATCCAGAACCATGTTTCTATCCAAATCGTTAATCTTGAGATCTTTCTTAATAACTTCTCATATAGTTTTTCTAGGTCTTCCTCTACCTTTGATAATTTGACGTCTCTTCATCCGATCTACTCTCATTACCATAGAGTCTTCTCTCTACATGTCCAAACCACCTAAGTCTATTTTCCACTATCATTTTTACTATAGCTGTTACCCCAACACTCTCTCTAATATTGTCATTTATAATCTTATCTTGTCTAGTCTTACTATACATCCAATGCGACATTCTCATCTCTGCTACACTTATTTTATTCTCGTGTTGATTTATAACCGTCCAACATTCTCCCGTACAACATCGTAGGTCTTATGGCAGTCAGATAAAATTTTCCCTTCAGCTTGAGTGATACCTTTGAGTCACATAAAACCCCTGAATCCCTTTTCCATTTCAGCCACCCAACTTGAATTCAATAGTGTACATTCTCTTCTATTTCTCCATTGTTTTTGTATTACAATCACATATATTTTCTTAAATTACCATCATTATCATGTCTAGTGTTTGTGTATGTATCAGTGCTTCATCGGAATAAATAACACTGAATAACATATAATTTCATGATATAAGTCTAACACTATCCATTGAAGTTTTGATAACATAGAAAAGAAACTAGTACCTCATATACAATAACAAAGTTGTCTTTAATCGAATCTTCATTCAATCCCCCAAGATAATCATTGATTACATCAGCAACTCTACAAAGAAACTAAAAATCAGACGGTTAAAAAAAACGCAACATCATTGATTCGGTATGAATTTCAAATGGCATGCACAACATGAAATCACCTCAATAGCCATTAAAGGTGGCATTTCAACTTGAGTACAAGCCAAAAAAGTGATTCCTTCACGAAAAACTTGGAATAGATAATGTGTAGGAGAAGCAATCACAGGTTGTTGCTGCAAACACAGAAGAGAACAATGAAACTATTGGTATGGTTATAGAATATAGAAGATTGAAGAGATAAGTTACTACTACCTTGAAGGAATCGGGTTGAGAAATGGCGTGATCCCAGAACCAGTTGCATATGGAGCGATCAACACGGTGACCGGTGAGTTGTTTCTCGAGAATTACCTCTCTGAAGAATCGAGATCGATAAGCTTTGATTAAATTGAAATGAAATTGGAAAGAGAAATTGGGAATTGGAGATGAGAAAAACAAGGGTTTACCCGGAATCGGAGAGAAGGAAAATGCACTGCAACATCTCTGGAAATTGGGGGAGTTAATTTTTCATTAGATTCGAGCTATTTGTATTTTCCATTACTTCACTTCATTTCCATTTTTTTCAGACACCATTGCGAATCCACGCAAAAAGTAAAAACTGTAACTATGACTATTTTTTCACGCTGATGAGGTTGAAAATGAGCGTAAGAACGACGGACTATTGTTTATTTAAATACACAACTTAAAAAAGATAATAAATATTGTGAAGATTTCTTTTTATAAAATTTACATTATTGTAAAGTTTATCATTTATTAATTTTTCTTGTCAAACTAATTATTTTTCAATTGTTTTTAGGAGTGTCCGACCTACGGATCCGATAATTTAAATTAAATTAACTTACGAATTATCTATAATCATTTATTAATGAATATATCTAACTCAACTCATATTAACTTAAACTCTGAATACAACTCATTGACGTGATATTGATGATTTTTTATTTTTTAATTAATATATTAAATAAAAATATAAAACTAAAATCTCGCTACTAACAATAATTTTATTAAAAAAAATTATTCAATGTCAATATTATTATTAGACCCATAGATTTACATAATTGTAAAATTAAGTGTTGTTTTTTATTTTTTTTGGTATTATTTTTAATTTAAATGTATTTTATAAAAATAATGTGTATTGTAAAAACTTTTAAACTAATTGAATTAAGATCTCGATCGGATATGTCAAATCATCTTTTAATAAATGAATGACTTCTATTTCTACGGATGTGATAATCTCGTTAGATAAACTTTATGAAAATAATATTTAAAATATTAAATTTTTAAACAAGTGTTAACTAAATATTAATGATTCTTTAGAATGAGTTAATTTTATTTAGTTGGTCACAAGTAGGCACGTAAATACGGGAGGTCGGGATGATTTTTATCCCTCTCAAACTCAAATTTAAATTTTCAAACAATCTTCATTTTCCGTTCTAAATTTATCAGAATAAAAAGTTAAAATTTAAATCTGTCTCAAACATATTTAAATTGGATTTGAGTATTTCTATTTTGCTATTATTTATTTAATAAAATCAATTTTTTAAATAAAAATATGTATCTTTTTCAAATTAATTTATATTACAAATAATAAAATAAAACAGTCTCAAAAAATTATATGCATATATATCAAATATTTTAAATAATCAATACAAATCAAAATATTAAAACATTAATTACATATTTAATATTTTAAATTATTAAAATTAAATAATAAAATATATAATAAAATAAATGTAACAGATTTAAAGATGATTTTGGAGTGAATATCAGCGTTCCTATTATTCAACTCGTCCTCATATTTTATAATTGAGAATAATCTAAACTCAATTAAAACGAAATTTTTCATTAAATTCAGATATAGACAAGATATGTACCAGATACTGTTATTGAAATAAACTGTGTTTATTTCTTTATTTTAGTACTAGAATCCCAAGCAAGAAATTTTCTCATATTTATTAGATGGGTGATGCAAAAACTTTATCTTATAATAAATAAATGAATTTAAATATTAAAGAAAGTACATTAAAAGAGGCATGGAATGAAAGGCTGTGGATGGAAAGAAAATGAGGTGGAGGTAAGTCCTTGTGTTATCACAACACAACATAATAAGAGGAAATGAAACACACTTCAAACTTCACACTAACACAAGTATGGCTAGATTGGTGGCACTCCAACAGAGTCAACTATCTTTCCCTCCTTTAGCTTCCTCTCGTTCTGATTTCAATGGAACGAGACTTCAAACTCATATTCAGGTTCTTCACTTCACTCTTTTTCAACTCATTCAATAACATACATTCTATTATCTATTAGTCTTCCTTCATCATCATGCTAATTCATTTCTGTTACAGTTCAAAAGAAAAACATGCCAGCCAAAAGGATCTTTTTCTGTCTCAGCATCAAGCACAAAGAAAATTCTCATCATGGGAGGTACTAGATTCATTGGTGTGTTTTTGTCTAGACAACTTGTCAAAGAAGGTCACCAGGTATTTATATTGATTAATTAACCATTTCATTATTTCACTCCGTAGCACTTACACCTCTGAAAAAATGCATTTGTGATTATATTTAATTTATTATGAGTGTCAATGTCGTGTCCGATTTCTGTGTCTGTTGAGTCCTGTTGAGTCCGTAGACTTTAAGTGTATAATAGATATTTTAGAATCTTATAACTAGTGAATTTGGTAGGTAACTTTATTTACAAGAGGAAAAGCACCTATCACTCAACAATTGCCAGGTGAATCAGACACTGATTTTGCTGATTTTTCTTCAAAGGTATGTATATATGCTAATTGTAACTGTAAAACTTTTCATCATTGTTATTAATATATGAAGCATTCATTATTTATGTTATGTATTTCATAGATTTTGCATTTGAAAGGAGACAGGAAGGACTATGATTTTGTAAAATCTAGTCTCTCAGCAGAAGGATTTGATGTTGTTTATGACATAAATGGTATTTAGATATATCCTAATTGTTCATCATACCCTTCACATATATATAGATTGTGATTTTTCATGATATATATTCTCTCTTCAAATTCATACCATGACTTTTTCGACGAATGATTCAGGACGAGAGGCGGAAGAAGTCGAACCAATACTTGATGCTCTCCCTAATCTAGAACAGTAATCTGTAGCAGTAGTTTTTGTTTAATTAATCATAATCATTAGAAATATTTGATTAGTATTAATCATTCTGTAATACCTTTAACGTCAGGTTCATTTACTGCTCTTCTGCTGGTGTCTATCTCAAATCTGATTTATTACCTCATGCCGAGGTCCGTGTAATATTTCATATTATACTTCCTCTGGTCCTATATTAAGAGAAAGTTGATTTTTTAGATTCATTGAATAATCAACGTATATAGTCTATTATTCAGACCAGATATATTGATTATTCAATAAATCTAAATTTTCTTTTATAAATAGAATCTGTGAAAGTATTTTGTTTTGATTAGTTTCATTTATCTTTTATTAACTCTGTAGTTTTTGTTGATAGATTGATGCAGTTGATCCTAAGAGCAGGCACAAGGGAAAGCTTGAAACCGAGAGCTTGTTGCAATCAAAGGATGTTAATTGGACATCTATAAGGCCAGTTTACATATATGGACCTTTGAACTACAACCCTGTTGAAGAGTGGTTCTTCCACAGATTGAAAGCAGGTCGCCCGATTCCTATTCCCGGTTCAGGAATACAAATAACACAACTCGGTCATGTTAAGGTACTACTAATGAATCTTTCAATATTATATTTCCATAAGATCTGTTGAGTCACCTGCTATTAGATTACTCTGGTCACAATTCAGAGGCATAAATGCGGGTCTTCTAGTATGTTAGTTTATCGTTTTTTATGTGATTTTGTTTTGGCTAAAATAAGGTTCAATTGTGAAGGATCTGGCGACAGCTTTTGTGAAGGTTCTTGGAAACGATAAGGCCAGCAAGCAGATATTCAACATCTCTGGAGACAAATATGTCACATTTGATGGACTAGCAAGAGCATGTGCTAAGGTAAACAATTAGCAATGAATGCTATGTTATATGTATGTATCGTCGCAAGCATAGAAAATAGTGGAAATTTCCTTGATAATGTCTTGTCATTTTTCAGGCCGGTGGGTTCCCCGAACCCGAGCTCATTCACTACAATCCTAAAGACTTTGATTTCGGGAAAAAGAAGTCATTTCCATTTCGCGACCAGGTGAATTAACAGCAAAAGTTATAGTCATTTTTCATTGGCGAAATTATGATGAACGAACATTGACATGTTTTATAAAATTTTATTTTGCAGCATTTCTTTGCATCAGTGGAGAAAGCAAAGAGTGTGCTTGGGCTGGAACCTGAATATGGACTTGTAGAAGGTCTTACAGATTCGTATAACCTCGATTTTGGTAGAGGAACTTTCCGCAAAGAGGCAGATTTTTCAACAGATGATATAATTCTTGGCAAGAGTCTTGTTAGTGTATGATGATTATTACAAATTACTCTTTTAACTTTATGTATGCATTTCACATATTATATAATTCTTGCTATAATATCATCTGATATAATTCGATGAAGAGAAACTCTCTTTGAAATTTGCATATGTACAATCAGCGTTTGTATTGTTTCACGTTTAGAATAATAACCAACGAATATGTTGGCTAAGTTGGTTGAGATGCCTGTTTTTACGCAAAGGTCGCAAGGTACTTGATGGTAATAAAACAAGACTTTACCAAAACAAATTTCCAAATGATATTTTGGAAATCTCTTTCAGAAGCCAGTTGATATTAAATGTATTTCAGCAACAATATCAACTCAAGATTCTAATGTGTGCGGTCAATGAAAATAATTTCCTAGAGGTAAAGATTTGTGTCAACAAAGTTGTCAAATCATGAAGTTATTCAAATAATGAAGTAAATGATGAAGGAGATTTTGTGCATTTTTCTTTACTGGTTGATGTTGAGCCATAGACCTATAAGAAAAGCTCTAGATGATGAGGTGTGGATAAATACAATTGTTGAGGAATTAAAGACCATGGATAAGAGTAATACTTGAAAGCTTACAAAGCTTTCATTAGATAAGAGCTATAGATGTGAAGTGAGATTTCAAAATGAAACTAAAGTTAAATGAGTGTTAGTAATCTAAAATTTCATGTTGTCTTTTTGCATAATCATCTGCGTTTGCATTCTCTGCATACGCATCAGCATATTTTTTTTATCTGTGAGTTTATTGTAGGTCTATATTCAAATCCCCACAGAATCTTGAGGTTATGATCATATCCCTCTCATAGTCATCACAACATCAATACAAACAAAACGAAAGGATTTATATGCTCATTTATCAAAGCATCGAACCACGGCCAAAACACTTCATTGCAAGCTAAAAAAGTGAAATTTTGCATGTGTTAATCGATTAACAAGATTAGTTTAATCGATTACACCTGCAAGTTTTGCTATTTTTTAGTGGTTTCTTAGCTCTGCAGCAGCCACTACTCTTCTCCTTTAGT